AGAGAGAGAGAGAGAGAGAGAGAGAGAGAGAGAGAGAGAGAGAGAGAGAGAGAGAAGACAATGCAAAACTAAACAACAAGCTGCACAACCACAACCTTCCTTTTAACTTATATCTAGCAAGGTCTTTGAGACATTAGTGTAGGTCAGTTTTTGAAAGCATGTGCAGATGACCCATAATGTCACAAGCTTCTTGAGCATCTCTAATCCCTTGTCTTTATTTATTTTTCCTTTTCAGAGAGGCAACAGATTGACGTAAGGTCAAACCCCCTGTGATATTTGCAAATGGAAAGAAACGCACCTTCATAAGACCCTGGTTCCCCATTAATTCTCCGGCCGTCCACGATCACAGGTAGGTCTTACCTTTTGGTGGAAAGCAAGGTATTCATTGGTTCTGCACGAACGTTTTGTTTCCCCCTGGATCTAAAGCCGAAGCCAACATCTTGGGTTTTGCCACAGCCTATACTACAAATGGTTCAAGTCTATTCTTTCGCTTTGGGCCACCTCTGTCCTCCCCACTTTCCTTTCTTGCCAACGCTCAGAACGAGGTTCTGAAAAGTCATGCCGGCTATGAATCATGAGAGTTAGTGAAAGGAAAGTCACTTTGAAGAGCAAAGAAATCAACCACCAACAGTTCTGTTGTGCACCTCTGTCATTGCTAAGTTGACTCAACTTCCAAGGATCCAACTTCTGCCAAATCGGCACGCAATTTTATCCTGTGGAAAGGCCACAGTGACCCCATCTGGATCAAGGCCAGAACATGCGAGGACAGCTGTGTGTGTATGTGTTTTATAAACCACCTTCCCCAGAAAGACACTTGTGTTATCCTTTTGAAGAAAACTGCAATTAGGGCCAACAGAGAAGGAAGGAAGAATGACAGTAGGTTGCTCATGGAGGCTCTCAACCACCCAGGTCATGGTTGTCCCGAAGATGCTTTCTTCAAAAGGCAACTGGACTTTGTTTTTACCTGAAGAAGTTTTGCTTCTCATCCAAGAAGCTTCTCGAGTTCTGAAAAAGAACCGAAGAAGCTTCTTGGATGAAAAATGAAACGTCTTCAAGGATAAACCGAGGTGGCGCAGTGGGTAGAGTGCAGTACTGCAGGCCACTTCAGCTGACTGTTATCTGCAGTTCAGTGGTTCAAATCTCACCGGCTCAGGGTTGACTCAGCCTTCCATCCTTCCGAGGTGGGTAAAATGAGGACCCGGATTGTTGTTGGGGGCAATAATGCTGATTCTGTAAACCGCTTAGACAGGGCTGAAAGCCCCATGAAGCGGTATATAAGTCTAATTGCTATTAATTGCTATAAACAAAGTCCAGTTGCTGCTTGGGGAAAAAAAACACCTTTGGGACAACAACAGCTGATGACAAAACAAACCAGAGACTGGATAAACCCACCAATACATTGGCAATAAATCGATCAAAACTGGAGATGTGCTTTGCACTTGTTTTTGTCCTTTAAATCCAAGGAAACAAATACAAAATATGATAGATCAGAAAGATAAGAATACCGGGCAAGAGAGAGAGTGGGGAAGAGGGAGAGAGGGAGGGAAGGAAGGAAGGAAAGAAAGAAAGGGAAAGAAAGAGAAAGAGAAAGAAAGAGAGAGAGAGAAAAAGAAAAAAGGAAGGAGGGAGAGAAAGAAAGAAAGAAAGAAAGAAAGAAAGAAAGAAAAGAGAAAGAAAGAGAGAGAAAGAGAGAAAGCAAAAAGGAAGGAGGGAAGATGAAAGAAAGAAAGAAAAGAGAAAGAAAGAAAAGCTAACACTTACTTCATTCATCTGAGGAATGGTAAGCTTTGGTAGTTTATTCTTAGAACTGGATCCGGTGGTTTTCCCTTCCAGTAGACTTCCAAAGGATTGGTTTCCATACACCCCCTCAGTTTCTAGGGGTGGTTTTAGTTCTGGGGAGTCAATCGGGACTTGATCCTGGCCATCCATGGGCCTAACGTAAGCGGTGGGCTTCTGCTGGGTCATACTGCTTTTACAGTGGAGTCCAGGAGGAAAGTTCTGGTTGGAAAGATTGTTAGCGGCGGATAGCAAAGACGTGGAAGGAAGAGGAGATCCGTGGCTCAGAAAGTCAAGATCCACTGGAGACTTGGAGTGGGTGGTCTCCTTGTAGGAGTGCTCGGCCGCTGTGGACTTGGAGTGATTGTGTCTCCTTGAATGTGAAGATGAAGGAGGGGTGTTGAGTTCCTCCCCTCCTCCGGTTTTCTGCGGCTCATTCTGGCAGGGATAGAGGTCCTCATATCGGCCTTGGGTGGGCTCATGGGAAGAGCTATGTTTGGTCCGATTGGACTGGCTACTGGGTTGGTTCGACGGGCCCCCACTAGAGCTGTGGTTGCCACGGGACCAATCCGTCCGGGATTTCCTGCTGCTTTGGTGGCCATTCAGCAAACTTGGATTGGATGACAGGGAAGGTGGGGGAGGCATCGACGTGGAGGTGTTTCCACTCATCCGGTTCCTTTGCTCGGGGAAAAAACTCGGCTCATTTTTGTCTACCGGGGTTTGTGGCACAGGATTCTTTGGGATGCCGACAAGGTGGCTCTGGTTGGAATGGTTGGTGAGCAGGTCCTTCATCTCATCGTAGTTCCCCAACGTGTTCTGCACACGGTTGGCAAGAGCGTCCCCTTTGCTGGTCTAAAACATCAAAAGAAACCAGGGTTAAGAAAGGTGACCCACGAACAGAGATGGGACAAGGTGAGAAAGGAGGAGACCTGCCCTCTTCTCAGCCCATAATATCTCAATCAGGGATGCCCAACCTTCACAACTTTTAAGACTTGTGGACTTCAACTCCTAGAATTCCCCAGCAAAACATGCTGGGAGCTGAAGTCCACAGGTCCTCAAGTTGTCAAGGTTGGACACTCCCGGCCTTCTAAAAAGGACTCCATTCCTTGAAATCTTTGCTTTCTCCTTAAGTTCATTGATGGGTATTAAGAAACGTCTTCCAAATCCTCCAAGCCATGATTGGCATATTCTTAAGCCTTTATTTATCTGATATATTTCTAAGTCAATGTTGTGGACCAAAAATATCTCCAAAGATGTCTTACAAGAATAAAATCACACACAATCAAAGTCATGTCAACCCAACCAACATTCGTAAAACAAGCCCTGGTTTTATGTATTAAAATCCTGCTCCAGTCATAAAAACAGAATTGCAAATAAAACCTGGAAGAGACCATTCATTAAAGCTTGTTCAGGAAATGGCTGATATTTGCCATCACAAATGATAGGAAGACCCCAGAAGAAAACCTGCCCAAGAGGTTCTTGGCAGTGCCTTCAAAGCAGAAGTTACTTGAAAAGGGCACCTGTTAGTGCAGTGTTTCTCAACCTTGGCAACTTGAAGATGTCAGGACTTCAACTCCCAGAATTCCCCAGCCAGCTTTCGCTGGCTGGGGAATTCTGGGAATTGAAGTCCTGACATCTTCAAGTTGCCAAGATTGAGAAACACTGTGTTAGTGATCTCAGGGTGAATGCCATGATGCTTTTCTCCTCCTAGTAACATTAGTCATGACAATGAGTATGCAAGTGGTGGAGATGGTGAAAGAGCTGGATGTCAGCTCTGTACGCCATCTTTTCTCTTGGACCACACTTTCTACTATTCATTTCCTACTGTGGTAAAATGGGAGGGGGGATTATATGGAGTTGGGTGATATGTAGCCATAACAACATTCTTCTTAGAAACTCAAGGTCATCCTTTGTCTCTGCACCTGGCCGGAACTGAATGGGTGGACTCTTGTCTTCTTGGCTGTGGAAGATTGGACCATGTGATGGACTTGTGGGTTTAGGGGAAGGATCTTGAACTTTCAACATGGTTCTTTTAATAATGTGGAAATTTGAGGAAACTTTTGCCTTGGACCCTGATTTACTTTCGGATGCTATTTGGAAACCTGACAGAGAGTCCCT